GTTGGTTCAATTTGGGGATAGAATTACTGTCAGACAAGCAAACTCACAGGACTTGGTTGTTACTAATGTCTTCCAGTCCTTTGACTGGGGAAGGGAAGATGGGAGGGCATGCATCCCCGTTGCAAAGGCACAGAAACCCATTCATACCGCCACTGCAAGTAATCCTAGAAGAATCAGAACCACTAGTTTTAAAACCTTCAGATTTGAACAAATGCATATATACAATTTAAAAACTCTCTAATTAGAAAAAAAGTCAACCACTAAAGTAAGGTAAATATTCACATGGTACATATCCAATTTAAAAGTTTGCATTCTTTATTGATGTATATGGTGGTAAAGTAAACATGGCTATGAAGTTATACAATGGAAGTTTCTAAAGCTAACCTAGCCCCGGGATCAATCTCCTCGCGTACTTCCGTTCTTTCTTTGCCTGAGAGATGGCTAAAACGGTCGTAAAGAGAAAAGATATACGGGGACAGGGGATGACTCACAGTCACATAGAGCATGTCATACATGACACTGTTCCTCCGCACTTCCTCATCCTTCATGCAAACAACAGAGGTTATTAATTTTCTGATACCAAGGATGATGGGCACACTTTGACAATCAATAAACATAGCAGACTGCATTGTGGACACAGTTGACAAAAATCCTTACTGTTAATGTGTGTTCAACTTTACTAATCTCAGCAAGAAGGCGCCCTTCATCAATAAAAGGTAATTTTGCGACCCCCTTTGTAGGCAAAAACAGAAAAAAGACAATAAGAGATTTTGCTTAAACAATCTATTATTTGCAGAAAAGCCATTTATCCAATGTAGTAGATGAAAGAAAAAGCTAAAACAACCTGCCAGGCAAATCGTTTGCCATTCATGTCCACTTCAAAATCTGATCAAGACCCAAGAAAATAAAAAATGTCAAATTTCCAGCAAGGAAAATAGTTTTAGTGAGAAATCTATGCATATGAGCCAGATCAGCCAACTTCTAACCAGTAGGATAGAAATCAATTATTGGTGAGTTTGGATCCATCATCAGAGTCCTGTAATGCCCCGGGAGCGCATGCGAACTGCAGACAAGCCAATCAAACATGGTCATTATCTTAGATATTTTGAAAATAATCGGCCAATTAATCACCACAATTAAAAAAGTGAAATCCACAAGAAGTTGAAACCTTGCGGCTGGAAAAACCCCCATGAGCTGACTAAAAGGCTTGAAAGGAGAGCCAAGTGTAAAGCTTATATCAAGCTTATCTAACCCCTTGATGTCAGAAGCAAATGGTGCATAATGATATGGATAGAACCTGACATGAAAATTATTGAAACAGTGAGAATACAAGAGGCCCTCTGCATCACAAAATCTGTACCAAAGGGGCTCATCATAATTACATATTCTGCACTAGAAAGTGTTCTAGACTAATAAATACTCATTTAAATAAACAATGAACACCCTCCACTAATTTCACATCTAAGAGAACACAAAACAACCATGTAAGCATAGCACACAAAAATAAAAGACCAGACATATTAATTGAACTGATTCTTGTTATTATAACAGGGAACTGTCATCACATGTTTCCTCCTGGGCTAGTATGCATCAGACCTACAGATTCCACTCAATATACCAGCAAGCATGTAGCAATAAATCATAGATAGAAAGAATAATTGTCCTCAGATAGATATTTTCAGGTCCACCATAGGATAGTGCCTTCTCTGCTGAAAATGGTCGGAAAAATAAACCAATTCAAAGAACTAGAACCAAGGACCTCACATATTAACTCACCATGTCCAGGAGCATACTCCTTCATAGTAATAGTGAAGAACCCAACATAGACCTTCTATGTACCTCAGAACCTAACAATACAAAAGAATTTTGTCAACCAAAAGGAATGACCTTTATAAAACACAACTTTCATCAAATTTAATTTTCGAAGGAAATAGGTGAATCACATGGCAACAATTTCTAAAGCATGCATACACCTAGATTTATTACTACAAAACATATAGGAAAATGCTTGATAGGACTTGCAGCCCTATCAAAATAACTAAAACGTCAGCTCAAAACTCATCGAGAATTGTGGTTTTGGCCTTTGAAAACCTTCAAATCGATCATCTCGGCCTTCACCATCGTGGTTGATAAAAATAAAAAAAGTGGACTTCAAGCTCTAAAAATAGTGTATATTGTAACACATTATCTAGACCGTCTGTTTCGTTCTAAAAAAAAAGTGTTCATAGTTCTATGAGATCTGTTACATCTGTACCACTTTTTGAGCTTCAAATTTCATAGTCGGTGTTGGAAATTGGTTTTAGAGCCTTCATGGAGATTTCGAATGCCCAAAAGTGCTTTTTGGACAGAGGATTCGAGGTGGGGCTTTACTTTGTCTTCATAAAGCCAAGGCCTTATAGAAACTGCTCCAAACATACATCTTAGGTAATTGTGCTAATATTTTTTAGAATAATTTTGTAAGATACCCTTGCTTTTTAAAATAAACATTCCTTTGATTTTTTTTAACAAAAATTCAGCATAAGAAAACTACAAATACAATACTATGAGCAAAATCATGTACAAGGGTTAAAATAACTTTCACCTTTTATCGAGTAACATGTAAAGGTAAAACTAAAAGGTCTAGAAACTCTTTTGAACTAAAACAACCACGAAAAAATAGAAGAGCTAAATACCTAGAGAGTGAGACACTGACCATGAAGAGATATTTAATCCCCTATCTAAGTTAGCCAGTTTATTGGCCCATAATCTAGAGTCCTAGTGCTCACAACATAATACCTAGATATGCAGTGGTATGGGATACATTACTTACAACATCTTTTCGAATCCTTTCAAGCTCCTCAGGAGTGTTTGCAGAGAATTTTTCTTCATAGTACCTCTCTTTCCATCCTGGCTCTCCTAACTTGACCTGTAAGTATAACAGCAGCTATAAACATTAAAAATAAGGTTTATAATGATAAAAACAATACAAACACAAATTTATCATTTCAGTTAAAACACAATTTACAAGTGGAAAGCTGCAATGCAAACCACTAGCTCGGCATAAAGTTAAAGACCAAAAGTCAATATGAGGGAAATTCCTCTGCTGAAAGTATATAAACCTTGTCTTCCTCAGGGTTATCAGAATTAACAAGATCTGATTTCTCCTTAAGCGAATCCTTGAGCTTCGCTTTCAAGTCATCTGAGTTTTCACGGATCTGAATCATAAACAAACGAGATTAGAATACCACAGTATATATGTTAAGTGGTAATCCATGTGAGAAATCATAGCATGGCCTATTAGTAATAGCCTGATTAAACATGTTGCACAATGACTTTGTCGTTGGAATTTTTCTTATTCAACTGAACTTTTAAAGTTAATCCAGTCTGCAGTTTGAAATTAGATTTTGATCACTATTTTCTTCTCCATTTGATAATGTTCTAACAAAATCCTTTCACAAAATAAGATACCACAGTTTCAAGATGGTTCTCAGCCTCCACAATAGCAGCAGCAACACTTGCCCCTTGTTCAGAAACACGTGCAACTTTTTTGGCCTGAACTGATACTTCCTTTCTACCATCTTTTACTGACATGGACTGTCCCAATTGATGCTCCTTTTTGGAAAAAACTGTAACTGATGACTGATAACTAGATCCACGTTTTTTATATGGGGAAGGGGAAGGAGCAGAAGCAAGACGTGAACGATTATAAGGAGCAACAGGAACTAAAGTGTCTGGTCTAACAGATGGCTCTGCATCATCACCACGCCTTGCCTGAGCCTTATCCCGTTTAATCCGTTCTACCTGACGCTGCAAATCAAGGCCAAAAGAACAAATTACTTGAAGAACATACAAAAAGGCAGAATCAGTTCCATTGAAGAGACAGCTGCAGTTTGCAAAAGGAATTAAAAGCTACACCACAAAACAAAAGATTTGCAAAACCAATGGATCTTGAAATTCCATTAAAAAGATGCCATGTAAGAAAATAAAGTAGTCTGACTTGACTAATCACACTTAAATTTTGTCCAGCTCGTATTTCATACTTCCTCTGAAGTAGTACACCTATTCCACAGGTAAAGCACCTGCTAGAGGGATGTGTTTGATCTGAAACTTTGAGAAAAACCTTATATTCACCAGATGAATGACTCCATAAAAGAAAAAGAATGATTTTAAATTCTTAAACACTGACATCTGACCATTCAAAAAATGGACCAAGTCCATGTTCAATGGACAGTCTCGGTTCACTGTTGGGATGGGATTCTTTTCACGTAGTTTTAGGGTGAGAATTCAACCTTATTAACTTTTGTTTTTTTCTTTAGATTGGTCGCTTGGATGAGTAAACAACATCCCCAAAATATGGGGGTTCCACAAAATCCGCCTAGGGCCATGGGAGTGTGCATTTTACACCTGAAGGAGAATGTAATCTTTTCCAAACTTTGTATATGATGTGCACTTTGACATTTAAGAAAATAAGTTGTTCATGTTAAAACTATCTACAAATGAAGAAAGAAACCTCTAGAGAATATATCTCCAACTAAACTGGAAGAAAGAAAGAGATATGGCTTGCAACAGACATGCAACTTGGGAGAATGGTGCAAAAGAAGACGAGGAAAAAGAAAAACAGAAAAGATTAAAGGGGAGACAATTGGTGATCTTGACGGGCTGGAATCCGTTACAAAGTGTGTGCGTGTGTGTGCGCGTTATTGAAGGGGGGGGGGTTGTTAAGCCCTAAAGGCGCAAGGGGCTGTAGATCCCCAATATCACCTCTAAGAAGCTGGATGGATGAAAGGGACAAGATCTTTCTTCAAACGTTCACTGGGTGGGTGTGTAGGTCCACAAGGGCACAAACTGTACTAAACATAAAAGCAGTATAATAACATGCCCCATGTTCGTTATAGATAGACGATAGAATATTAGCATGCAGTCATATCACGTCAATTAAAATTCCAGGAATAGAATTAAAATGGCCCCGCCTATTACAATAGAGATCTATCAAAGTTCATGTTGCACAGAAAAAACTAAGATCCAAGATTGCCTCTCAGAAGCACAATCCAGGCTATAAATTGTCCAACTTGACGAAGAAAAACAATTAGGTTCTGTAAGGGCCTAGGTTTCCTCCAAGCAAGGGTGTTTGGCATCTTTTTCCACTCAAAACCCGGACTTCCAAAACCCAAACCCATTTTGAGGTTTCGGAAAACCCTACCAAAAGTTGGCTTTTCCGAAACCTGGGGATGGGATAATACCTGGGTTTGTTTTGCACCCATGAACCAAATGAACCCCCATAAATTTCTGTAACCCCTGCCATTCACAACTTCTCCAATGATCCCTCTCTCAGATTCCCCAAAGGTCACATCATAATATTAGTACAGATGTAGCAAGAAATTTCTATAGAAAGCTAATGCTATTCATAATCACGGTTTTCACAAAAATATTAGGTTAATCAATTTCAACAAGAGTGTGTCATTGTTACTGCTACATTTTCAAAGAATTCAAAAAAAGAAAAGATTACTTCTTCAGTAAGTAATGCGGAAAGCAGAATTGGCTAGGAAAGAATACAGAGTAAAATGACTGTACAATATAAATAGAAGTCTAGAAAAGAATTAAAAATAGCACAAACATGTACTAGAAAAAAGCAGCAGCAAAGACACCATTTTTTTTAACAAATGATTGCAGCCCACATGACTTAGAAAAGATAGCACAGTGCTATTATATAAAGTCTACCTGATGCAGCCGAGCTCTTTTTTGGAATATATTATCTTCATAGGATCCCACAGCCTGAATAAAGTGCTCAACTCTTTTCAAATTTGCCTATGCAAGATAAAATAAAAGAACGTAGAGAAACAAAGCATTAGCTACAAGGCCACGAAAATTTATTACACCCTACTTTTAACTATAAAAACCTAAATAAATAATCTAAAAGAAAGATAGAAGTCAGAGATTCATATGTACCTTGCTGGAGTTGGCCAAATACCCACCCATAAACCTAAACTCCTTCTTATATACAGCCAACAGCAAATTGATTGCGCCCTAACATGAATTGCTCATTAGACATTTACCGAACAGTGTTCCAGGTAAAGCTTAAAATAAATGTATGAACACATCCAGTAGAATGCTAGAGCCACCAAAAGCAGTAATATTAGCTTCACTTGGGAAAAGCAATTAAATTATTTAAAAACTATATGAGTGTGTTCGCAGTATATTCCAGTATTAGTTTTTTTTATTATTTCCGTTGCTTACGTGCCTATAGGTCATTCTTGTTCTTTTTCCCATACTTCAGTGCAACCTTGTACTTTTCATATTATTATTATTATTATTATTATTATTATTATTATTATTATTATTATTATTATTATAAATAATAATGGGAGGGGTATGGGGTTCAGTAACGTGACAGCACCTTCTCGCTTCTTTTATTCTCTTCTCTCTCTCATACTATCTCTATTGCTTCTCTTTCTAAATTTGTCTCTCTATCTTTCTCTCACTCATTCCTCACTCCTTTTTTCTTTATTTTTACACTCTCAACATGGTATCAAAGCAATCTGTAAGTTGGCTCCAATACATTCCCTTCTCTTTTCTTTTTAATTCATTTTTCCTTTTCCCGGAGAAAACTAAAACCTTAATTCTGCTCTGTGCTTCATCAAGTAGCATCTAGGGTTTCCATTTTTTGGTGTGCAGAACCAATATGGTTGACTGTGTTTAGTCTCAGGATCTGTGTTGAGGTTTTCCTCTCCTCTTTAGAGATTAAAAAAGAATAAGAAAAAAGCAAGAATAATAATGGCTGAAATGTGTCCAAATGTATAGCTGATGTCATAGGAAGCACGTGGCATTTCGCGCAATAATTCAAGTGCAGAGATCTATGGTTGTATACATTTGAATGATAAGTATTTCTTCTTCTATCATGTGTAGTATTTTTTTTTCTAAAAGACAAACTGCCCAGTGCATAGGCAGTCCAGACGGCCTAGGCACCAAGGAACCCGCCTAGGCAAGTGCCTGGGGCCTGCGCCCACCAAGGGGCACAAATGCCCCTCACTGAGGGGCATTTTTTGGGTTTTTTAAATAAACAAGGGGACAAGGGTGGGTTTTAGGTTCATTTGAAACTTAAACCCCATTAGAGCCTATTTTGGAGAGAGAAAAACCTCAAAAAACTAGGTTCTAGGCATCCAACTTTTATTTCTACTGGGCCTATTTTACAGGTTCTCCCCATTAGAGCTTATTTTAGGTAATACAACTTTTCGCTGGGACGCCCAAGTTCTAGGCATCTGCCTAGGCTCCGCCCAACGCTTTTTGAAACACTGGTCCTAGCGTTTATGATTTATAAGGTTTGATTTTGTTATTAAGTGCACCCAAAAGTGCTCAGCCTACTCTAATATTGTGTCTTTTTCATTTTCTTTTGTTGTGTGCACCTTGGCCTCATAGCTAACGAAAGTAAGCCTGGAATTTCCAGCATTAAGACATTGGAATGCCATATCACTTTTGTGAAGTTAAATGGGTCTAGTTATCTCATATGGGCTCAATCTGTGCAGGTGTGGTCCTAAGGGTAAGACGAAGCTCTTGACTAAAAATAAGCCAAATGAATGAGACAGTAGGTATGAAGAATGGCTTAAGGAGAATTACCAAATCATGAATCGGTTAGGGAATAGAACGGAACCCCAAGTGAGCGCTAAGTCATGTTCCTTGATACAATTAAACATGTCTAGGAGACTATACATGAGATGCATTCTTCACATAAGAATATCTCCCGAGTTCATCAACTTTATGAAAATATTTTTATGTTATAGCAAGGTAACAAAGTCTTATGTGTAGAGCATTACAGCACTCTCCGTGGTATTGGGAAGAGCTATGTATCAGTCTTTGTCAAATGATGTGGAGTTGTTGAAGAAAAAGAATCTCAAGTTGCAAAGATTTTATCCAGCCTTAATCGAGAATATCAGTCCACTCATGGACAAATCATAGCCACTAATGAAGTTACGTCTTCTAATAACATGAATTCCCATCTCCAACATGTTACTATTTTTACACATTCATCTGCCTCTAGTACTAGTGATGGGTCTGCCTTAACTACAATTGTGGCTAGAATTGATGGATAACAAAAAAAATGTACTCATTGTGGACACATAAATCATATGGTTAACAAGTGCTGGGATAGATTTGGTGAGCCTGTTCGGAAAAATAAGGTATCCTACGCATCTGAGAGCGATGATATTCATCTAGTTGGCTCCACTGACCATCACCAGACTTCGAATTATGCTAGTGATTTAGTTTTTCTCTCATGTGAGAAATAAAATAAACTTGTGAAAAGCAATCAGTAACCTACAACTCCATCCACTGCTACTCTTGCAAACTCAGGTACTTCTGCACTATTGTGTCCCAGAGACCATCTCCTTGGGTCACTTCAGGAGCCTCTGAACACATGAATGAAGAATCTTCTATGTTTCTTTCCTTGATGAATTTGTCCCTAATGCATCTATTCCATTATCTGATGATTCTTTATCTAGTGTATATGGAAAAGGCACATCCCTACTTCATGTCTTCCATTGACTTTTGTTCTTTATGTACCAAAACTTCCTTTTAATTTATTGCCCTTTAGTAAATTAACTAAATCAATTCAATGTTCAGTAACATTTGATCCCTTGTTTTTGTGTTTTTTAGGACCTAAAAATGAAGACGATGCTTGATGGTAGGCTTGAAACTGGAGGACTTATATTGTCCGATCGTAGCCTAGTTGGTGCTGCTCTTCATTCAAGTGTTCTAAAAATGAAGAGGATGATCAGTGGCATGTATGAGACTGGTGGACTTATATTATCTGATTTGTAGCCTAGTTGGTGTTGCTCTTCATTCCACTATTTCTCCATTTCAATGGCATTATTTATTAGATTATCCATCTCTTAATAACTTGAAACTGTCCGTCACAACTTTGGAATCTGTGTCAACAATAGTGTGAAGCTTGTGACTTAGGCAAGCAACATAGTGTATCAATCCATCCTAGGTTTGATAAACAGAAGTCTGTCCCTTTACATTCTGATATTTAGGGTCCTGCTAGAGTTCAAAGTCTATCTGATTACAAATATTTTGTACTTTGAAGATGATTGTACTTATATGACATGGTTACATCCAATGTAAGAAAGATCTACGGTTTTGTCTATTTTTCATTCATTCCAAAAAAATTCAAGTTCATTTTGGAAATAATGTGCATATTTTACATTCTAACAATGCTAAAGAATATTCATCACAAGAATTTCAAAATTATTTCGCCTAACATAGGATTTTACACCAAAGTATCAAACATCATGTGCTCATACTCCTCAACATAATGGGGTTGCATAACCAAAAAAATAAGCATATAATAGAAGTGACTTGCATGTCGCAAAAGTTTATTGGGGAGATGTTAACTGCATGTTATTTGATAATCCATGTTATCATCATCATCCAAGCCTTATCCCAACTATTTGCGATCAGTTGCACAAACCATATTCCGCTATTCTTCTCTATCAAGGGCCATACCCTTAGTCAGACCATAAGTCACCATATCTTTCTTCATGACTTCCATCCATACACTTTGGGGCCTTCCCCTTGCCCTTGTAGAGCCATTCACTTCAACCAAATCACCCCTACTAACTCGTGATGTTCTAAGTCGACACTACACATGACCGAACCACCTAAGTTTACTTTCCCTCATTTTATTGCTTGTTTGAGCTACCCCTTAGTTCCCTCAAATAGAATCATTCTGAATTTTGTCCTTCCTTGTCTTGCCACTCATTCATCTCAACATCCTCATCTCAACTACACTAATTCTATAGATATGTTGTTTCTTGACCACCCAACATTCCGTCCTATAAAGCATGGTTTATCTTACAGCTGTCCTATAAAATTTCACCTTCAGTTTCAATGGTATGCAATGATCACATAAGACTCCAAAAGCGTATCTCCACTTCATCCAATGAGCTCTAATTCTATAACCAACATCTTCCTCAATCTCTTCTTTCTTATCGACCCAAGATGTCGAAAATAATCTCCTTGAGTACTTCTTGGCCATCAATCTTAACCAATTTCTCATTTCTGCTCCTATTATTACTAAACTTGTATTCCATATATTTTATCTTAGTCCAGCTAATTTTAAAATCTTTTAGATTCTAAGTATCCCACCAAAGTTCTAACTTTGCATTTAAGTTGTCTTTAGTCTCATCAATCAATATGCCATCAGGAAACAACATACATCATAGGACCTCATCTTGTAAATGCCTAGTTAACTCGTCCATAACCATGTGATTGTGCCCTCCTCCATTTGGATGGAAAATAAACACATTCTATTTTCTTTCTTTCTTCATGTATTTGGTTGTGTTTGTTACTTTGTCGTGTTTATGCTTTGGGCCTTGGAACTGACAAGTTAAATCCTCAAGCTATTAAGTGTGTATTTCTAGGCTATTCCTGCACCCAAAAAGGTTCTTGATGCTATCATCCTAGTCTGAGAAAGAATTTTCTTTGGGTTGATGTTACCTTTTTTGAGAATACTCCATATTCCTTTGATGAGGGTCAAATGGTTGAAGTTGATTTATTTGATCTACAAAGGGGAGAGATTTCACACAATTAAGTTCATTCTTCTTTCCCTTCTCTAGTTCTTGTTTCTATTCATATCTCTGTAGAGTCTGCATCTTCAGTTATTGACGTGTTTCAAGAGCAGCCCCAAAGGTACATACAAGGAAGGGAAGGAAATACACCCATTACCAACTCAGCAAGCAAATCTGTCTCTCTCCGTCTACAGATCCAATCTCAGTTCCTAATCCCACTTCTGTGTCTAGTAATGCTGATGTTCTGATAGCCACTTGTAAAGGTCAGCAATTTTGTACTCAACATCCAATTGTTCATTTTGTTACCTTTAAAAAATTGTCTCCTTCCTGTCAAATTTTGCCATTATCACTTTCCACTATTTCTATACCTAAGTCCTATTAGGAAGCTCTTTCTTTTACTAGGTGGCCTAGAGCAATCGATAAGGGAATGGCAACGCTCCAATCAAATGCCACAGCGGAGCTTAGTTATTTTCCATCAAGAAAGCAAATTGTCGCATGTCATTGGGCATATGCAGTCAAATATCAGTCCGATGAAATTGTTGAGAAGTTAAAAGGTTAGGTTGGTGGCAGAAGGACATACACAAACTTTTTTTTTTTGAGAATAGGCATACACAAACTTTTGGTATTGATTATTCTGAGACCTTTGCTCCTGTTGCTAAACTTAATTCTATTTGAGTGCTTATATCTGTAGTAGTAAACAAGGGATCATCATTGTGGCAAATCAATGTTAAAAATGCCTTCCTACATGGTGATTTACAAGAAAATGTATACATAAAGCAACCACCAAGATTTGTTGAAGAAAGCCATTGATGACCTGAAGCAGTCCCCACATGCATGGTTCGATAAGTTCAGCAAAATTGTTATAGCATATGGGTTTCAACAAAGCCAAGCAGATCATTCTGTATTTATTTGGGGGCAATCCTCAGGTATTATTGTCATGGTGATTTATGTTGACAATATTGTTAGTACAGGTAGTGATGAGCAAGGAATTAATAACTTGAAAAGGTATTTGCAACAAGTAGTTGGGATAACTCTTGGATAATGATAATGACGATGATGATGAGGTATTTGCAATAATATTTTCGGACAAAGGAATTGGTCAGCCGCATTTTTTTTTTGGAATCAAAATAGCCATGGCTAAGTATGGTATTAGTTTTGCCTCAAACGAAGCATGTAACATATTTGTTTTCAAAAACAAGCATGCTTGATGCTAAGCCAGTTGATACACCTCTGGATCCAAGTACTAAATTATTAAAGGATCAGGGGGAGTTGCTTGAAGATACAGGCCGTCATAGAAGACTTCTAGGTAAGCTTATCGACCTCACAATTACTTGGTCAGATATAGCCGTTGCAGTAAGTGTAATGAGTTCATGCATTCTCCAATGACACCACACTGAGAGGCTGTGTGTCGAATTTTGAAATATCTTAAGGAGGCTCTAGGTCGAAGGCTTATCTATAGGACAAAGGGCCATTTCGATATTAAGAGTTATCCTCCTAATGCTAATTGGGCAGGATCACAATTTGACAAAAGATCTACTACAAGTCATAGAAGTTTTGTTGGAGAATATTTTGTGACATGGGAAAGTAAGAAACAAAATGTTGCAACTAGGTCAGTGCAAGAGGTAGAACATAGAGCAATGACTCACCACACGTGAGGTAATGTCGCTGAAGACCTTGATGCAGGAGATGGATTCACAATTAATTAGCTGATGAAGATGTTTTTTTTATGACCCAGCTACTCTCTCTATAGCCAACAATCCAGTGTGTGAGTGTACCATGAGAAAACAAAGCATATTGGAGCAGATTGTCATTTTACTCGGGAAAAGTAACTAGCAAACAGATATCTACTCCAAATGTAAAGTCAAAAGATCAGTTAGTAGATATATTCACAAAAGCTCTTGGTTGTCATCAGATTCAGATCATTTATTCGAAGATGGTAATGGATGACATTTATGCTCTAGCTTGAGAGGGGGTGTTAACAGTTTATTCCAGTATTAGTTCTTTTACTATTGTCCTTGCTAAGACCGTTCGGCCTTAGCATCCAGCTTTCTTATTTCGCTGCAAAAGAGACCAGGTCGGTCAGAATCAGTGAAGGGACGAACTCAACCATTCAAAGTCAAGGAGCCCTGGATAAGAATGAGAGGGGTGTTTGGGTGAGTAAACCCTAACTTGACAGCCCCTTCTCTCTCATCATTTCTTCTCTCTCATACTCTCTCTCTTATCCCCCCTCTCTAAATCTCAATCTCTCCAGATTTTCTCCTTTCTTCTAATTCCTATCTTCTTTTTCTTTATATTTACACTCTTAACAGAATAAAAACATTATATTTAAAAGAAACATAACATTCATAGACACCAGAAAGAACGAACCTCACGAATTTCCAAAGTTGGCATATGTGGAAGGAAATCATTGCCGACAAAGAAACACATAAAGATAAAGTCATCCACAATGCATTCAAAGTCAATCTCAAAAGGAGGATTAGGAATCCTCATTTCATATTCCAAATACTCCCGCAATGTCCAAATGTTAAGGAACTGCAGTGTCAATAATACAAAGGTCAAATAGAAGCATAAATTGAAAGTCACATAGGAGAAATGATATCCATATGAACAGAGAAGCATACTTGAAAAGGCTTTTTCTCAAATACAACACCTTCACCCTTCTCATCAAACTCTCCGGATTTTCTCTTCACCTTTCCTTGGCAATCTGCAGCCAAATGACCCACTTGACCACATAGAAAACATTTATCTTGTTGTCCAGGGGTGAACACAACCTGAAAGGAGGAATTCAAGGACTGATCAATAAACGATTTGAAAAGATTAAAAGAACATAAGCAACATGTGTGCACATGCATGCACATACAAGCACCACCATTCCCATGTGGTACACAAACAAAATCTGAGATAAAGACTTGCACATCTCTATAGATATGAATAAATACAAATATGAGTTTTAAGTTTCTCACCACTGGTATTCTTCCCTCCAAATTGCCTAAAATCTCTACCTCTCTCTCTATGATCAGTCATCCTGGAAATCATTGTCCTTAAAAATCTCTTTTGTGTTTTATAATAAACCAAATCCAATGATAAAAGTTGACAAAAAAATCGCACCCCTCATCCTTTAATTTTTAATATTTCGTAATCCAAAACTTGATTCAGAAACCATAATCTTTGTTCTGTTAATTAAAACAATTAATCTCTTCTTGAGAGAAATAGGAGTAAGCAACAAGAGAAAAACTAAAGAAAAACTATTTTGAAGGGAAAAAAAAAGAGAAAAAAGTGCGAGCAAAAAATACTAGAAATAGAAGTGAACTAGTTCAGACAATTTTAGTTGTCTATTCTTGTTGAAACTAATGGTTTTGGGCCCAATCCAACCATTTGAACCAAACACTTTGGACTGGTTTTGACAACATATCTTCAACCAACCTATGGTAAATGAACACAAATGTATAAAGATGAAGACAAACAGACCTCTCTCAGAATGGAAAAATGCACTTCATGTGTGGCCAATGCCAGCATAATCAAATCAGCATCCTGTACCAGCACACACGTCATTAGCCATATGGAAGAGGATCTAAATGATAATGGTACACATTTCACAAGATTGAAAGAGAAGCAACTAATATAAAATATGCCAAGGATATAAAAAACAAAGAAAATACTCACCAAACCATAGAGGCAGTGGCGTGTATTTGGGTCATAACCAGGAAGATTTCTTTGGAGACGTATGTACGACATAACCTTATGCTCTCCTTCACCAGGAACATTTGCATCCGACAAGATAACCTTCAAAGAAGGTGGAATGACAAGCAAGAGGGAAAAACATAAACTTTGTGACCAGACATGGAAGCAACACCAAGCAACTAAGGAAAACATTGACCATGACTACATTGCAGAAAACTAACTAATACCACAAAACAGTGTTTCAAAGCCTGAACTCAGGCTCAACTCTCCAGGGCTCCCGAGCCCAAATCAGAGGCTAACTTGGCCGAGTCGAACAGCCCAACTCAGCTGAGTCTCAACAAGAAAATATATAAGATTTACGTACAAGGGTCAGACTTGCCTATTTTAGGGTTAGTCATCCGGACCCAGCACCTTGCCGTGCCCAAGGGACTTTGACGAGTGCGAGCCCGGTCAGCAATTACTAGAACACAGCTATAAATGGAAAAGAAATACAAAGCTACAAACAGGTAACCGGATAGGGTATTAGAAGAAATATGAAAAGCTTAAAAGATGAGATATTGCAGGAATACCTTTATATTTCTCCATCCGGGATCATAGTTCAAACGCAAATGTATGTAATATTGTAAAGCTATTGATAAAACTGCCATGAATTCTGTACCAGGTGTGATCACATTAGAGTCACACACTTGAGATGTCTTTTTAGGAGGAAGAATCCTTCCCTCTTGTTCAAATTCTTGTCTCAGCCTTTCCTCTTCAACAGCCTAAATGGGAAGACAGTCAACATTAAATCCAACAACCAGACAAATTTATAGAAATTAGAAAGGATAGAAAGTAGCAATAAACTAAATAAAAAAAAGTATAAATATTGAAGAGCTAGATACCCACAGCATCGGCTGCATCTTTTGCAGATCTAAAACGTCTAGACCGCTGCTGATTCATCTTAGCCCTTGGAGCAACCCCATCTACATT